GGGGACAGGGGGGTGGCACTCGCCTCTCGCCACCCCTCAGGATCAGAGCTTTGTCTCCCGTTAGTTCTGTACGGGAAACGCAGCCCACGTCCACACCGACTAAACGCGCGTGGGCACAGGTACCGCAGCCACTCCGCGTGGTCCGACCCCGGCGTGAAGCCGTCCCCGATGCCGGGGGCCGGCTCACAGCCATGCTCTGCAGGAGCAGGGGCACACGCTGTCATCAGCCCGCCGTGCTGCCGCCTGCGAAGGCCGGGCGTTTCGGTCAGATGGGAAAATAAACTCGGGTATAAATGGAAAATGGTAAAATTAAAGAAGTCTGCATTCATCTGCAAAAAAATGAGGTAGACAAACCAGGTACCCATTAAATAGCAAAGCCCTCCGGATGATGCGATGTGTATCTATCTGCCTGGTGGTGTAAAACAAAGTGCTGAGGATGCAGAAATTTAAAGTCTCTGCGTGAAACCCATAGGAAAAAACCCAACGGCCCCGTAAGTCCCTTACGCGTAGTCCTGGATTTAATACAGCTCAAGGGGGCTCCTCCCATAGCCCAGGCGTTTGCAAAACTAGCAAACCAGCCATCTTTCTTCTTTTCCCCGTTGGACACTTGACATGACCAAGCATTGGCGCACAAAACAAACCGCAGGGCGCGACTGGTTTGAACCTGCCGCTGCAGCACGAACGCGAAAGCACAGCCCGTACGCGTCACACGTCGCGGGGCTGGGGACGTAACCCTCTTCGCTCTCTTTTTCCAGGCTTTGTACAAACTGTACAGCGCAGCAGCGACGCACAGACATTTGTACCACCACGCCTTCCCTGCACAGAAAGCGGAGCCCGCCGAGGGCTCGGAGAGGAAGAAGGTGTAAGGCAGGGGCGTTCCCGGCGATGCATGCACGAGGCGCGGCCGTCTCCCCCTCGGTTCAACACTCTCATCCTCGTATCCATCCCAAGCTCCCGCCGTGGAACAGGGAGAGCGGAGAACAAGTCAGGCGTAAGGTGATTCGGTGTGTTTGTTCGACAAGACAGTGTTTGACGGGAAGATGTCAGCATGTTTTTCGTTTTGTTAATATGTACATATTGGTTCTGCCGCAACTACAAAGTGCTTTTAATTTGTAATAGCCAGCATCCTGCCCAGCTAAGTTACGAAGCCTTATTTTCCCCTTCTTAATTAGTTACGAAGTCACTGAAGAAATCATTATTTACATGATACAGCAACTAAAAAAATCTCCCAGACCGTAGCTTATTCAAAAGCCAACTTATTTTCAGGTACTTGAACAAGTTATAACATGTAACCAAGTTTTTTCTTCAATTAACTATTTAATTACATAAACATACTTAAAAATGTATTAACTTGCTTTATCAGAAACTGTAAGGGCACCTCTGCTATGGTACGTTAACGATCCTGTAAGGAAAGCATACGTTTCTGTTCGTAACCCATGCACAGAGTATCACTTTGTATATGTATCGGAGAAAGCGTCACTGTATTTCTGTATATACGCCGTTATAGTGCATAGAAAGTGTGGTCAGCAGGTCTGTTCTTTCTCTCATCAGAACTATTAAAGTTTGCTTTCGGTTCCTAACAAGTCGGTTCTACAGGAAGCAGTTACTGATGCGCTGGGTTTTTTACATTCTCGGTTTCCTTTTGGCGTTCAGAAGTGGTGTTTTAATGGTAACGGGTCATAAGAACATTTTATTTGACCTTCTAAAAGGCAAAAAGAAAAAATCAGCTGAACCACCCTCCATTCCTTGAACAAAATGATTTTTATTGAATTAATAGGATTTACAAGAAATGTTTGGGTTTATTTTTGTCTGCAACAATGTTTATTGCACTAAAAAGAAACCATAAATAACAATTCAGGACAATCAATGAACCAAATGAAAATATTGGAGAGGGTAACTGTACAATTAAAAGTTTTCCCCAAGTAAGGACGCTTTAATACAAGACAAAAGCTCGTTTAAAAAAAGAAGTAATTGCTGTTACATCCCTGATTCTTTCCATGGTGCGGTACAGCCGGTTGGTAAGCTGGTCAGACAATGCTAGTACCTTCCCGGTGACTGGGTCACATTTTATGAAATGCAGTTTACCTAGGATTTAAAAACCTGTGAGAAGTTTCCTTAGATATCTTGGTCTTTAAGAAGGTGCAAGTATTTCCCCTCTGACTAATTTCTGTGAAAACTAGTAGTAAATCTAAAGTAGTAACGTATTGAAGTAAAAAATAAGGCAACTCAGACTTCACTTTCACGAAGCGCGCGCTTTAGACTGATGAAACCCGCTTCCGTCTGGTCACAGCACTGGGCCTTCTTGGAACGGAGCAGTATCGGCGCTCCGTCGGTTAAAGCTGTAAACAAAGAGCAGACCTCTCTCTCTCGAGGGATACAAAGTCCCGAGGGAAATACACGGAAAGATTCATTTGGATTTTAATGATGTTTTGAATCTGGGACGTCTCATATAGTTGCATCTATTGCCCTTTGGAAATATACAGTCAGCTTCTTAATAATGCAGCTGACTGCTAGAAAAAGATACCAGAATCGAGTGTCTGATCCAACTCTGTGCTGGTACTCAGAATAATAAACTAGTTCTTGTATGGAAAAAGATTAACAAACGTTTTTCATTTTTATAAACAATACATAATACATGTAGAAAAATATTCAAGAGGATAATAACAAAGGTGCAACATCAACAAAAATAAGCTGCCTTTTCAACAAAAGCACTTTTTCATAGTTTGAAGTGTGAAAAACCTTTTAAAGCTCTGAAGTGTCCTCCTAAAAGTCTATTAGAAAAGAGTTGGGAGCTTAAAAATTCTTGCCGTGCTGCTGGGCATACCACTGCTGCCTCTGCTTGCGGTGCTCCAGCTCAGTGAGGAGGGCCTGCCTGTAGGCTTCGTACAGCTTCACGATCCGTTCCAGTTCTTTCATGAAGAGCAGCTTCAGCATCCCCTGGTACGTGTCCAGGTCCGCCAGCTGGAAGAGCTCCCACTTCAGAATGTGATCGTATCTGTTTTGATAGAAGAGATGATTACCAACATGCCGCTGCCAGTGAATACGCAGCATTTTAAGCATTTTTTTTTTTAATTTTTTTTTTTTTTTAAAGAACTGGCCTCACGGTTGTACTGCCACCGATCAGATTGCGAGCAATCTACATTAGTGAAGAAATAAGGTCATTAACACCAAAAGACAGGGAGCCGTGTCTCAACGCCTGTCGGCGAAACATCCCTCACAGCTAAGCTGCAGAGTCACCCATAATATGCCAAGACAAACTCTAAAGATCCTATTAACTGCTTACAATAAACCAATGCAGAAAATGCATTTTGGAAGCATTAAACCAGCAATTCCGTTCACAACAGGCCTTGAAGATGTCGCAGTAAAATGCCTTTTAAAATTAAGAGTCACACAGAAAAAAAGGAATTATTTGAACAGCTTACCCTAATACTGGCCAGCAGGTACCTCCCGGAAGGCGCAATACTGCAAGTCTTCCCTCACAACACACTTTTGTTTCCAACGCGTTCTTGTCCCAGCCTTAACAAGCACTCTTGGATCCTGTCCCCCCCTTGGTTAATTAGCAGCACTAATTTAAGTCAGTGTGTCTCAAACTGCGGGTCACAAACCCCACAGGACCACAAAAGGGGGGGTATGAGACAGCACGAGGGAGGACTGAGGGAGGGGGGGAAAGCCAATTAGGCCGTAGTTAACGGCTGCAAGGGCTCACCCCAGTACGGAGCTCCTCAGCGCCCGTGGCTACCAGCAGCGATCCGTCTGCCACGGGGGTGTCAAGGGAGCGATGCGAGCACTAACGGCTAAAAACCCCTACCCGTTCCGACTCCCCACGCGGGAAAAAATGAGCGGCTGTGGAGCTGGGGAGAGGCTGCCAAGAGCCTGAAACACACGGGAGCCACCTCAAACTCCTCCTCTAGGAACATCTGACCTAGCTCCCCGCGTGGGATGGAAACAAGCTCAGCTGTGAAGGCAACCCAGCGCTGACGTATTTCTTCCCATTTCCCCCAGTGACAAGGAGTTGTGGGTTGAGCAAGGCAAACTACAGCAGCGTGGGTCATCCAAGCGCCATCCGTACCCTCGGCGCTTTCTCCTCGACGAGGGAAACAGGCACGAGCTGGCAGTGCAGAACGTGAAAGCTCACAACAAGAAAGGGGCTACGCACAGACAGGCTTTCTTTAAAGCCACGCTCCTCGCTCGCCATGACAGAGAGCAGAGTACGTTAAAGAAAAAACAGGCAAGGAAAAGTGGAAGCACGACATCGATCCATAAGGCGGGAGAAATGATGTCTGAGGAAAACTGCCAAGTGTCACTGACCGCTGCACAGTCCTGGGATAAGGAGCTGCTGGCAAAGAGCATCTGGTCTGCTCCTCTCCCACTCAACATTCAGCACTGCCCGCCTTACAAAACCTGCAGCACTGTCAGCGCTGCCTTTTTGTAGTTTTTACTTTTCAACACGGAGGAATCCTGAATTCCTGTTTATACTCCTAACACTTTTTTCAATTTCTGAAACATGAACATGCCCCGATGTCCTTGGGGATCTCAAAGCTGCTGCTGCTGGATGGGTACAAACTTGACGTAAGATGAGCCTCTTCAAGCCTCCCTCGTCTCACTAGCAGAGCGGAGGGAATTTCCTGAAGGCTGCATCTCACGTCGTAACTGCCAAACCACTCCCGTGACTAACCAAGGCTAGGCCATTCCTCCCACAATTTTCCACCATCAAACCTGGCACTCTGAGGTCTGCCAGGGAACCGGACAGCTCGTCAAACCAAGCCCCGTTTCATAATGGGGGTCTGGTCAATCACACGTCAGTCAGCGACTCGCTTTCGTGCCACAAATTCTTCAAAGCTAGTCCTGACAATCTTTTATACCAATCACATGGCTCAACATTTCCCAAATTTAATGTCTGCAGTATTTACCTTTCTAGATAAGCTATCCAAACTATTCAAGAAAGCAAGCATTTTTCTTCATTGCTTTTTTTTTTTTTAACTGGACCTCTTTTTATGCCAGTGCTAGGGGAAGGTTTCCAAGATCCTGGTAGAAAATCAGTATTTCTAACAAAGTTTTTCAACAAAATCATGGTAATTCTACAGAGAGAGGATTAAAGGTCTCTGGCTCACAGCCAGATGTCCAGTAGTACCAGCACACCCCGGGGGGAAATAGCTGCAGGATGGTATGGAGCAGGAGATGCTGGCATTCGGGATCTTTGAGGAGCTGGTAATTGAAATAATTCAGGAAAAACCCAAGACACTGAGCCAACAGCAAGACAACCGCTTTGGTGAGCAACTTCCAGTACGTTAGTTCAGGCTCTGAAGCCCCCGCGGCCAAACGATTACCGACTGGGATCTGGCTCACGTCGGTCAGCGCACCAGTCAGGCATTAACAGCCCGCAGCGCAGACTGCCCCGAGTAGTACACTGACTTCAGAGAGCTACGTATATACCAACGCTGAAAATAAAGAGGCTCTTCTCTTTGATGGTCTCCTTCCACCTCGGTGCGATGACTGGAGAAGTCTGGCAGGGTGACAGGAGCCAGCAGCCACGAAGAGACCTGCTGCGTTCCGGCACAGACACACTTCCCAAGGCTCCGAGGGAACAGGGGACACAGAAACGTCACGTGGCGCGACTGTAAGCACGGTTCTCGTTAGCGGGGATATCTGGGCTAACCTGACTACCTAACCTTGGAGAGACTCGTGTGAGAGAACTTCAGCAGTATCACCCCAAAATAAGCCGGGGTGCTAATGCTGCCCCTGGAAAGGGGGCCCGAGCCCCGCAGAGTGTCCTGGCACAGGCCTGGCCAGCTCCGGCAATAGGACGAGTCGCAGAATTTCCTAAGCAAGGTGAGGAAACAGCAATTCCCCAACCCAGTTTTAATCTTGATTTTCTTTGATCCAAGTCTTGTTCTACAATAGACGTTGTAACGCTGCTTTATTTTGATAAAACAAAGCCCTGATGTAGTCACATCATCGCTGCAATACTCCTCATTTCCTGCTTCTCCCAGTGCTTCTAAACGTAAAAGATTCATTTGCCTGATTCATTCAAAACCTGATTTTCTTAACTTGGAAATAGGCAGTTGACTACTATAGTTATTAAAAGGGTAGAAGAAACTCATGGAATAAACAGAGTTATTTGATCCAGCTGAATTAGGTGAGAAAATATATTCACTTGAGTGGAGGCTGAAGCCAAAATATCAGTAAATTTATGCAAATAAACTGCATTCTATATTGAAAGGATATATTCAGAAGGCTGTGTGCATCAGAGAAGCACCAAGACATGCAGATGACTAGCAAAGACGCTTTTAAGGAATTTTAAGAATGTAAATAACCACAACTTCTAGAAGCTGTTATTGAGGAAGTTTATATGTTAAAGTTATCCCAAGCCTTGACAGGGCTGCACTGCTAAAATCACTTTTGCCCAAAAGTGTGTGCGTGTGTGGGGATATATCAAATTGCAGCAGTTTGTCAATACAGAGATCAAACTCCACAGAGAGGCAGACGGCAAGCTGCTGCTTTTCATAGAATCACAATGGTTGGAAGAGACCTCAAAGACCATCAAGTCCAACCGTACACCTGATGCCACCCTGTCCGCTAAACCATGTCTTGAAGTACCATGTTTTGAAGGTCTGCCAAGCACAACTCTCTTTGTAAAGCCCTCGAGTATTGAGTTTACCTGAACACCACCTTTCCACCTCTGCTCCTTTCCCACTCATCACAAACTGAATTCAAGTGCAGCAGGATTTCCCCTGGCTTGCCCTGCGCTGATGTATCCCTTCAAATGTTTGGGCCCAAGGGCATTTATTAAAATACATTCCGCAGCAAGGCCGATTCTCAGTGGAAGGGCTGTTTCTTACTAAGGTGGCAATACAGGCAGGAAAGAAAACAAAGCTCCAGCACATGCAATAATGTGTTTGCAGGTCTTCTGGGGCCTGCAGCTTTTTTATTTTAAGCATTATCACAGATTGCTAAAACCTTGGTGGTTCTTTAGCTCTTTGAAGCTGTCCCTGCTGACAGGTTCTCGAGAAAAGCAGCCCATCAGGATTACTTTTCGGTGCAAGAGTTTCGTTTCGCCTGCCGAGAGCAGTGTTGAATAGGGGAAGAAGTCTAATTAAAAGATTAAGCCATCAGCAGTGCCTCAATGGGAATGGGCTCATTCAATCCGAAAGATTGTAAGGAACGCTCACCACAGAGACACCGAGAGAGTACCAGTACCTGACCTAGAGTCCCCAGGCATTATTTAGAAGCGCAACTCGTCACAGAGCCAGAGATCAAGGGGAGAAAGCACGTTAGTACAAAATTCCTGCAGAGCACAGAGCCTTCCCTCCTGGGTGAGAAAGCAGGAGCTTACTAGACAGAACACGCAGCCAGCATACCCTGTCTTCGGTGCTCCTCCCTGCAGACAGCAAGTATTTAATATAAAAATAGGACTCTTTCAACACAAGAGACACTGACCTGCCCCGAATATTTACAGCTTATTGGTTAGGGCGGGAAAAGAAGTCCTGGGCTCAGATCCTTGCTTCAGAAGAGGCAGGGGAAGAATCTGAGCCACGATCTCTCACACAAGGAAGGCATTTTCGGTCTCCTCACCCTCACAGTCCCATGCGTGCAGTCTGGCATACTGTGGGAACACCTACCAGACTGGTCTACCTAACTTGGAGGTGGAGACACATTCCATTTTTGAGTCTAGCAAAGGGTTAAATGCAAGCCAGGAGTCTTGATTCCGCTGGGTTAAGACCCTGATAGCTGCACTTCATGCTCTCAAAACAAACCCTGACAGATGCCAGGAGAGAGGGAGAAAGGACACTTCAAGGTATCAAAAATACCTTGAAATCGTTACCTCAAGTTATAACTAGACAGCAAAGCCTCTTCACTGTGTAGCAAGCCAAATACCTTCTTTTTTATCTTAACAGTTTGGTCATTTTTCACTGAAATAGGGAAGCATTATGGCCTACGCCTACTACGGCCTACGCCTACTAAAATCTCCATTAGACTTTTCCAGTGGCCAAAATCTTTATCCTTTAGAGAAACTGGCTGAAACAAAAGCTAACATTATCTATTTTTGCTACCGTCATCTACTTCGCTCAACAAAAATGACTGGCCTTTAGTCAGCTAAATCAAGCTATAGCATCAAGTGGAAGTAACAAATCGTAACAAAATACACCACAATGATTTCAGTGTGAAACTGTACTGATAATCAACAGGTTTTCACAGTAAATTTCAAATAGCAGATAGCAAAAGATATTCCTCTACTACTACTATGAAAGTGTTTTGCCCACTTACTTTCATTTTTGCACCAGAACAGAGGAGGATGTTCACACAGTTCTCATACTCAGCTTCTGGACAATACTACTGAAGAACTTACAAGCATTACTGGATGTTTTTCTCAAGCTTTAAGCCAGTTACTTTGGCAACAGAGAAGAGGTTCATTATTAAAATCACATTTAAAAAAAAAGTGATCTTCATTTTTAATAACTCTGAATATTATTTATCCATTGTTCCCTGAACTCCATGACATGAGGTGATACAAAGCCAGCTGCTACCACTCTTCCTCACTTTTCCAATATAATATTAACATAAACCAGAATTCACTGCTTCACAGAAGTGTTTGAGAATTATGACAATATTTCTACTACCACCAGCACTACTGTAACAGAAGGCTAAAAGTATAATGGAAAATAATGATTTTTGATTCCTCTGAACAATGTAAATTCCATTCAAACAGCTTGAATGAATTAAATGTTTCGGTTGTGTATTTGTTTTTTTTAATTTGTCTCAGCCTACTAGATATAAACTTGCTCCTGATAATCTTAAATTGTTTAAATTGTCTTAAATTTGTTTCTCAAGCTTCAAGAGAGGCACCAACAAGAGTCCATACACCACAGACTGAAATATTTAAAACTACATTGTCTGGATGTGCCAAAGACCTAAATAAAGAAATGCAGCTGCAGCCAAAACCTAAAAGTATTTCTAGGAAACAGGTCCTCCCATAGGTTACAGGAACTTAGTATGTCCCTGGTGCGTAAGTGTACTGGTGGATTTTGCCCTAATTTAAATCTTTATGGGCTGCTGGCAAGCCTAGTAGTCACAAGAAGTAATAAAACCTATTCAAATTATAGTTACTAGAAGCAGCTAAAAAAAGAGGGTTTTTTTAGTGGAAGTCACTGAACATCATACACAGTTAGAATTTGCAACTACAGTCTGACCTGCTCATTGCTGTAAAACTTAGCTTCTCCATATTCTCCTTATGAAAAAGTAGAATCATAGAATCATTTAGGCTGGAAAAGACCTTTAAGATCATCAAGTCCAACCGTTAACCCAGCACTGCCAAGCCCACCACTAAACCATGTCCCTAAGCACCACACCTACACCTCTTTTAAATCCCTCCAGGGATGGGGACTCCACCGCTTCCCTGGGCAGCCTCTTCCAGGGCTTGACCACCCTTTCAGTGAAGAAATTTTTCCTAATATCCAATCTTTAGATTGGTGCAACTCGAGGCCATTTCCTCTTGTCCTATCCCTTGTTATTTGGGAGAAGAGACCGACCCCCACCTGGTTACCCCCTCCTCTCAGGTCATTGTAGAGAGCGATCAGGTCTCCCCTCAGCCTCCTCTTCTCCAGACCAAACCCCCCCAGCTCCCTCAGCCGCTCCCCATCAGACTTGTGCTCCAGACCCTTCCCCACCTTCGTTGCCCTTCTCTGG